GGTATGGAAAAAGAGAGCAACATATGATGTTCACGGTTTTCTGAAAAAAGAAAAGAAGTTCTCCCATCTATTTTGTGAAAGAGAACATTAGATGCTTTTTCTAGAAAAAAAAAAAAAAAAAACTTTTTACAGAAAAAAAAATCTCCTCTTTTATTTGATTCCAAAATATCAATTCAATTCCGAAAAATTTCTACTAACGAAGAAATTGTTCTCGGAGTCAGAATCTAAAAGGTGGACTCGATTAGAGGGGAGACACTTGGATCCCTTATGGTGAGACACACGGACGGTGATAGCTACATAACCGGGAATTGATTTCCTCTTCATCGTCGCTATTTGAAGAAAATTAAAGGTAATTTTCGAAATTCTCTACAAATCAAAATTCGTATTTTTACGTGATTTTAAAAGATGTCGATCGTAAAAATCGCTATATAAACCGAGGGGTTTAGTATTTATTAGATAAATACTTATTTATTTCATTTTATTTCTGCTGCGTTTTACCACGTACGGTATAGCGAACCTAACATATAATTAGTTTGTCTAATTTATTCCAATATTTACTAGGTAATATAGATTCCGTTGCACTTGTGTCTATATATGCTAGTAGAAATTTGTTAAATAATTTAACTTTTATGAATGAACTGTTTTTACTCATCTTCTGATTCAGATGATTCTAAATCACGGGAAATGCTCCCCTACCCACGGTGGGTACATGTTAATATGCCCATCGCTTATGTGGCATGCACACATTGGTGATGTTAATATGTTAAAAAAAATACATCACCAATGTGTGCATGCCACATAAGCGGTTGGCATATTAACATGTGCGCATCGTGTGTAGGGGAGCATTTCCGTCTAAATCACTATCTGTTTCTGATTCTAAATCATATATATCAAATTCTAATAGTTCACCTTCTTCATATTCTTCTTCTATAGGTTTATAACCTAAAGAAAATATCATTTTTAACTTTCTTTCTTTTTCTGGTATAATTTTAGGATATTCATTTGCGTAGTGTCCTATTTCTTTACATTTCCAACATCTACAATTCTTTTTTCCTTTAGGACAATATTTGGACTTTCCTAAGTATTTTTCTTGTTTTCTAAAATTTCCTTTATATTTTGATTTCCACGGTTTTCTAAATGTCTTATATCTTCTTGGTCTATATCGTTTATTAAACTTATTATATTTATTATATCATTTCTTTTTGTATGGATTATAACAACCAAATTCTTGTGGTGCACTTTCTAATTGTTTACAATATCTTGAATCGACTTTAGTCATTTCGTGGTGTTCTAATTTCTTTATACAAAGTTCATCTCTATATTCTTTCGCATATTTTTTTAAAATTCCTAGAGTTTTTTCTTCTCATGTTTCACTAATTTTCTTCTGAATATATTTATTCATTTCATATTTAAGTTTACTTTCATCTATTTCTATTAATTCTGAACTATTTTATAGAAATTTTCTCTTACTTGACAGAAAAAATTTTCTATGTAGCATACGTTGCATAACTTCATGTTTGTTAGAAATCTAACTACCTTTTCTTTTTGTGTTTCCTTTGACTCTTGTCCTGTAATTCCTAAAAATTCTTTTAATAGATCTTTTGCTAATTCTTTTAATGCTTCTATTTTATATTCTGTTCCTGTTTCTAAATCACTGGCTTCAAGATTTAATAAAATTCGAGTATTTTCTAGATAGTCAAATAATACTCCGGATGTTTTATATCTTATATATTTAAGAAAATCTGTTAATGTCATTCCTTTTATCATTAAATCATTAGTTTGAACTAGTAATTTTAATTGATTAGTCCAAGTGATTATTAAATCTTCTGCATTGGTTGCACAATCTATATTTAATATTCCATTAGTTAGATTTCTTTCTTTTTCTAGAAATGCTAGTGGTATATTTTTTCTATTATTTTCTTGATGATAACTATAATTATTTCTGTATATAAAATCTCTAAAACTGCTTTCTACATGATTATTTTGTGGACTAGATGCTTCAGTATTATTTGTTCTTGGTCGTTTTGGTGATAATGACGGTGTTGTATGGGGTTTTTGATTAGTCATATTTAATGTTGGTTCATCTTCATCTTCACTATCTATTGCGTAGATTATTCATTGTTTATCCTCATCATCTATTTTTGTCATTCTAGTTTCTTCAATATTACATTTTTCTAATAATTGGGTTAATCTATCTAAGTCATCCATTAGAACTTGTTGGCGGTTGTATTTGAATTGGTTTAAATATTTTTTTCCGTATTTTTTCTTTTTGTACTAAATCTTGTAATTCTTTTATTGATTTTTTATTGCATCTAATTTTCCTAATGTTTCTAATTGGGTTTTCTTTATTATTTCTATAAGTGTTCTTATTTGTTCTGAAACTCTTGGTGGTTCACTCATTATTATTATTATTATTATTATTATTATTATTATTATTATTATTATTATTATTATTATTATTATT